GGAAAATTACTTCTTTTTACTGATTTTGCATTGCCTTCACTATAATTTAATTTGATACCCCCTATTCTTGCGTGAGAAGAAATGAGAGTGAAGAATCATTCCTTAGTTATTTTCCTTAGGCCAGTCATGATCCTGGCCTCTGTAAAAACACAGTTCTACTACCTAGTCATCTTTCTTCTATGCCAAAAAGTTTTAGCCTATTTAGTAATTCCTGATAGGGAATTTGTTCCATTCCTTGTTGTCATTTTATGTTTTCTTTGTTTGCGTGTTATTTGAGCTGCTCAGCTAGTTTGAGAACCTGTGCAATTAATGATGTGGAGTACTTGCATGCGTTTTGTAGACCTTGCTGAGTTCATGCTCTTGTGATTGATGCGGTTGTTGATACTCAATCAGTTTATAAGCAGTCTGGGAATTTATATTCTGGTTTAATTCTCATGGTGGCATTTTAGTAGGAAAAGCATTTGATAAATAATAGTCCCAGAACAGTGATGAGATGAAAGTCAGGCATGAACAACTAGTTTGATTGAGCAGAGGAAGGATAGAAAGGAAAAATATTTTTTTGTCAGAATGTGTGTGTATACACAAATAAAAATGCAGTTGTTGTTAAAGTAATGTAGTAGAAACTGGCCGTAGAAAATATCTTTGTTGAATAGCTTTGAAGAGATGGTGATTCTTTTGCAGCAGATGGCTTCTAAACAGGTGTGCTGGCTCAGCTTACGCCATTTTAATGATAATGTTTCCCTCCTTAGGTCTTGAACTATCAGGTAAAAAGGTTTGACCCTAATGGTGCTAATCAAACCAGATTGTGCTTTACTCTGCAATTCCACTCTGGATTTCTGAATTAATTATATTGTCTAAAACAGGGAGGAAAACACAGTGAAAAAAATGGTCATCTCAATTTCCATTGCCTCAGTTCACCACTGAAAGCAGCTTGATGATTATAGCAAGGGGAACTGTTTACTACTTATCAGCTTACTCTGTATAGGGAGTTCTTGTACAAAAATTAATTTAAAACTCAAGGCATAGAAGCATCATAATCTGACTAGCCAAAAGAAAAAAATCTTTTAAATCTTATTATTTGTACCATGCTAGTGTTTATGCAATTCACAATTTAGAAGTAAACCAAAGTTGCAGACTTTTCTGTCTTTGCTAATCAGTATTTTGATTCATTTTCTTTGGAAAATTCATTGCATATAACAATTTTGTTTTATGAGAATGTTGAACATCTCCATAAGCCTTTTTTTCAAACAGTAATTCAACAGTGGCTGTGTAAAGATGCCAGAAAACTGATCAGAATCAATGATCTCTTGTAAAACGTTGCCTCAGGTTGGCTGTCAGCTAAATTGAACACGTTTCTTAACTATATCCATCTTTGTAACATCTTTTTTTATTGTCATATGTACTTTTCCAAGGGTGATGTTATGCATTTAAAACATTTAATTAGAGATCTATTATGTGTTAGTAAATCATTGCAAGGCAAATCAGACAGCCACTGCTTTGGATTCCACCTGATTCTGGATCTCTGTGGTGTAACAGCATTGTTCATTTGTCAGGTCCCACTGCCCAGTGAATATCTGGTTCCCTGCAGCTTGGACCCCATAGGATTTAATTCTTGTAACATCCTTCAGGAACTAGCAAACAGGACACTGCATCAGCAATGTTTCTTATTATTTCATTTCATGCAGTTCAGTGGTTATATTTGACTGCAATAAAAAATAAACAAAAGGCTCCAACTAAAGACCAAAAAATGCTACAATATTTTCTTTGTAATGAGGCTTTTAACACAGTGCAACCTTTTATGCAGAAGCTGCCACTATCACAACTAAAGTGTAGCAACTATGGTTTCATCCTACACAAAGAAATAGGCTTCCTGTCTGAGAAGATCCTTGGAAATTATATCCTGAATTCATGTGAAATTCTTAATAGAATAAAATCTGCAGTCTAGAATTTTTCATTGTGGAAACTTATCGTGCTCTGAAATCAATGAAGACTTAATTGCTTTATAACAACAGGGGTTCTGATCCAACACAAAATAAAAGTTAATGCCCCTACATTGCTATACACATATTATAGATGAGGAACAGGTGGTGCTTCATGTGAAGCATTTTGCTGGGAGTCTTTCAGACAGTGGTTAAACTGGACATATGTCTCAGAATAGTCCTTTCCACTTTTTATTACATTTTGATTGATATTCTATATAATATAAAAATATTATATTTCTATATTGGAAATAATAACGTAGTATTCTGTATATTAGAAAAAGGCAGCACCATAGAGTGTGCTGTGATATATTCTTCTGCTTTGGTCAGATGAAAATGTGCTTCACATCTGTCAGATGCCATTAACTCAGCTGCTACCCTGAATCACAAGGTGTACACAGACAAGACTTGGGAGAGGAGGGTGTTAGCACGGGGGAGTAATACAGAGGATAGCCACTAGAAACCAAAGAACTGTAGGAAAGGATTTGGCGATGAGTAATCATGGAGCTGGAGAGTGAAGAACGGGGAGTAATGCTGGAGTGAAGCATGTGAGAGCGGTGGTTGCTGGGAGGTTGGAGGAAGGGGCAGGTTTCCGGAGGGACATGGGCAGCGCAGTCTGAGCTCCCTGTCCTCCTCCCAGTTCTGCCTTTCCTTTGCTCACTGGCAACAGGGAGCAGCAGCAGCCAGGAAAAGGTCTGCTGACTTGGCTCCTGCTGATCTTTTTTCCCAAGCTATTAACCGAGAAGGTGAACCCAAAGGGAGGACAAGTATCTGCAAAGGAGGGCTGGGAGGGGACGGAAGCAGCAGCCCTATATCACCCCATCACTCTGCTGAGCTCTACCCTTGCTCTGGGAAGTGATGTCAAATAACTTCCATTGCTTAAGCAAGGTGTATAAAAACATGGCTGCCATTTCAGCGTTTATGGGTTTATTGCAACTTCCCCAACTAAATATTAGCAGTGAGTAAATATAATAAAAATAATGTGCTGGTTACATTGCCTGTACTTAATTTTTATCACACGTATGTTGAGAAAGAGAAGTTCTCCTAAACTATTCTGAGAGACATTGTGTGGCCATAGAGCTAAAGAAAATTCATTAACTTTGCCATCTCTCTGAATATCCCTACAGTTGCCTTTATGTATCTGTAAAACACAATTGTACTCACATGGCTGAAATAAATCTGTGCAGCTTTGTTAGAAGGTTTGAAAAATAGTGCTACATGCCCATATTTCTCATTAGAAAAGTTAAAGGATTTTTTGTTTCTTCTGTGTTTGTGATTGGTAATCATAGTTTTTTGTTAACCGTTCAAAGCAATATGGTAATTAAAGCGTACTTTAGCTAACATAAATTCAGGTACATTGAACAGCAAAATATCCTGTAGTAATTAAAACATAGGCATAACATTTTTGTTTATTTGTTCCTGTTTGTTATCATTGATTTAACAACTCTCTCAGTGAAATTCTATTGTTCAATATTATAATACTAAAATAACAGTGGTAATACAGTAGGCATGCATGATGTTATTTGACATAATCTTTATAGGAAAATCAATTGAAACAAATGTTCTTCCTGTCTTCATAGAGTAGACAAATGGATTTTTGTTTCTGTATAATTCTCAGGTTTGGAGATGGCTATTCTGTCAAGGTTTGGCTTAGTAAAGAAATAAGCTATCGAAGAATGATTTTGGACCGTCTGCAACTGCATTTTCCTGGAACGCAGTTTAAGGTACAGCTAAAATTCCTCACTGTAGTATTTGTTCTATGGCAGGACTAAGTATGGGCTGGTGAGAACAATATATACATGTTTGGATGTATTGATCTTTCTGGAAAAAGTATGATGAGCATCCCTTTCGCTGTTAAGCAATTCTTAAAAATCTGACTTGTGGTATTGACTAAATCAACTCCAAACAGTCATTTAGGCCACAGGAATAAACAGACCCTTTCTCTGAGTGAAAATTTCCTTTTACTTTTATTGTTGATGAAGTTGAACTTGCGTTGATTTGATTGCTTCCTGAGAAATTCCATAATGATAAGTCTCAGTCTTTACTGAGATTCTTTTATTTGATAAGAAGCCTTACAAAAGACCTATAGTAATTAGATTCCAAGAAACTCTCAAAGGCTTTTACTTTTTATTTTTTTTTTACTTTATCTGTGTTTAGGAAAAGAACCACGTAAAACTTTGTCTACCTTATATATGAACCTATTTGTGTATATGTTTGTGTGTGTTTGTGTTTGCTCAGCCTTTTCCCATACTGTATTGTAACAGCACTAATCTGTTGGATTAAAAAACTATAGCATAAACTTTTCCTAAATTTATATATCTTTTATGAAATTGACAAAATGTCACCTTGGAACATACACAAAATATGTGTTCTGAGTATGAACATTTCTTTGTGCTACCAAAGTAGAAAAACACATCCTTGTTTAAAAGTTCATATTTTCCATGTTAAACTGCAATGCAAGCCTATTGAAACTAGACTGGTTATAAGCAAGTGTAACTTCTTCATAATGTGCATTCACTTTTATCCCTTTCTATAATTTTGCTTTTCTTAAGGGACAGCTTCTTAACCTGCTCGAGTATCATGTACCACGAAGTCAGGGACGCCTAGCAGAGCTCTTCAGAGTCCTAGAGAATCACAAAGCTTTTCTTCAAATCAGACACTACTCCATCAGCCAAACCACATTAGAGCAGGTATTTTTTTGTTTTCTCTTTTGTTTTTTATTTTTATTTCTTTTATCTTTGTCTCCCTCCCTCCCTTTTTTTGTCTGAACATGCTGTGTACTGTAATTATTGATGTAGTAGAATACTATATCATCCCAAACATGTGTGACTAACCAGCAGTTATGTCTACATAGTAATTTCATGAACCCTACTCTTTTTACACTGGAGGAAAAGCGGGAAAGCGGGAAGTGCCAACGAGCAGCAGCTCTGACTCGGGGGGGGTGGAGTCGAGTGTGACAGCGGCCAAACCCCCTCAGGGATAAGAGCAGCTCCCAGGGAGCGCGGGCGACCAGGAGCGCGGGCGAACAGAGCTGCAAACAGAGGCGGCGCAGCAGCCCGGGAGCGGCGCAGCAGTTTGCGCAGCAGTT